CTTTATCGGGCCTACTAGGCCCACTAGAAAGTCATTAAGTCCATTAGGGTTTTCCTTAGGCCCATTAAGCTCTATTGGGCCCATTAGGGCTTACGAGGCCCATTAGGGTTTCAAGCACCTCCAAAACTAATCAAACTCACAAGACAAGCACACTGCCACCCGACACGGCGGTCGATGGCGGCAGGAGGCGGCAGCCACCACCTCACGGTGGTGGTTTGGTTTTTTCCTTTCCACTATACCGATTTGTTACAATTACAATGCCCATCCGATAATCACACTCACACCCTAATCTAATTACAAACACACATACATACGAAAATACACCCACCCATGGTGGTACACGGCGGCAGCCGCAGCTATTCACGATGGCAGCGACGCCGGAAAGTGGAAGGAATGGCGGCAGGCGGTGGAATTTGCGATGACAGCCACCACCTCATGGTGGTGGCAGCGGTTCTCTTGATTCCTGTGAGCAAATTAACGCAAATACAACCCGATTAGCTCCCCATACGGCCCTTTAAGGCAACACACATGCATTTAGCCACCTACAAAGTGGCGGGACATCGTCGGAACGCCACTGAAATGGCGACCAACGGCGTTTACGACCCAAACAACTAGAAAAATGGAAGAAGGAGATGAGATATAGTCTCACCGAGAGCGTTCCTACGACTCGTGTCCGCCGGTCACAGCTCCGCCTTCATTCTTGGTGGGGCTTCTCCAGCCGTTCACGACTTCATCGGAGGCGGCAAAGAAGATTATGGTGGCGTTCGATGACAGGGTGGCGGAGGATGGAACGGTAGCATCTAGCGGTCTTGATCGATCGGAACGAGAAGGAGTGTGCGGCTGGAGATGGCAAACGGCAGAAGGGAGATCCGGAGATGGTGACGGCTGAAAATGAGGCTATGGTTAGGGTTCCGTAAGGGTTATACACCCGGTGCCTCTAAACTCCTTTCCATAATAACGGAATCGGCCCCTCCTTCCTTATTTTCTTTCAAAATGAGTCCATAAGTTACCCATTTAACCCCTGAAATCAAAACCCCTTAGAAATTGGATCCGAATTTTACCAACAACCCCTCCTTCTAGAAATCCTTTCCAAATTGGTCCAGAATTTACTCTTTAGCCCCTTACTCCATAAAATATTTTCAACCTTAATCCAATATTTACCTTTCAGCCCCTGACTTCAAAATCCTTTAAAAACAAATCCGAAAATTATATTTTAACCCCTTAACTTTCAATTATAACTTTTTAATCCCCGAAACTAACTCCTTGCCTATTCCGCTTTCAGGGCTATTATTCATTCATTAATTTATTTGTTTATTTATTAAATAAACAGGGTGCTATATTTTATTTCGAAAAAACAAACAACACCTTAGACATTCTTGATTTTTATCGTCGTAATTATACTTTTAATTTGTAATAAGATACTTTTTAATATACCTTTCAAAATATTATTTTCATTCATTTGATTTACTTCCTTCACTTTCTAAACTTTTAATGTTTATCCCTTTTAGTATATATATAAAATTTGATTTTCAAGATAGCTTTTGTTCGTTATCTTAAGAAAAATTATTTTTTACGTTTATATTTTTATATGTGTTGGTATAGATTTGAGGTGCCCAACGTTTTGACGTAACTTTAGAACTTTGGTTCGTTAATTTTTTTTAAACAAACTTACTTGTTTTTTTTTGGTATGTTTTTTTATAAAAATTAGGCGTACTTTTTTTTATGTGGTTATTTTTAGTTACATTTAGAAACATAAAATTAATTTCTATGTACGGCCAATAAAAGTACTAGTTTACTCTAAAATATAAAATAAATCAACAGAGTTTCAAATGAACCAATCGAAAGTACCATATAAAAAAATAATTAATATGTAAAAATGTGATATGATACGTGTAGCTTAGGAGCTTGTGTCAACTTTTTGAGATTCGTAAAAAACATCTCTTCACGTTCGACTAGAATTTCTTTTTCTTTTTTTATTTTTATTTATTTATTTATTAAAGACAAAACTTCAAAAATGGTACGTGTGATTTTCGAAAATCTGAAGTTTAATCCCTAATTTTTAAAATCTTACAGATGGTCCTTGTGGTTTCAAAACTTTTAACAAATGATCCTTTTCACTAACACCGTTACCTTTTGGCCGTTAATTGAAGGGCATTTCTGTCATTGGACCATTTATGAAGTTTTGTCTTATTTAAATATATATATATATATATATATATATATATATATATATATATATATATATAATTATTTAATATTAAAGGGTCTCTCTCTCTCTCTCTCTCTCTCTCTCTCTCTCCATTGGTGCACACATTTGACGTCAAATGAACGGAAACAAAAAGAAAAACCAAGCTCACCGGGAGACAAAGTTCACCGGAGTTCATATCTTTCAGTGTTGCCGGAAGGACGAGAAGCAACCACGAACAAGAAAAATGCATCCGACCCAAGCATTACTCACAACATCAGCCCCATGAACAAAACGGACATCACACTCTCTTCCCCAATGTCGTTGCCGGAGAACACGAATGTATCTTTCTTGTTCTCCCATTAATTTCAACATTGTTAGAAAGAGCATCCATGGAGTCCATCTCGATCTCAAACTCTCTCAGCTTCTCTCTCTCTCTCTCTCTCTCTCTCTCTCTCTCTCTCTCTCGTTCCAGTCGCACACAAAACACACACTCACACTTTGTCAATTCTACTTTCTAGAATTAGCAATTTACCCCTGGATTTAATAACCCTATTTATTTCAAATAAGTTGTTGCATACCTCGATGTCCGAGGGGGTGACGGTTGTGGGGCGGTGATCCGTGGCGGCGTTTCATTAGCTTTCAAATGTGAAGGACGCGGCGAAGATGAATAAAATGAAGTGATTTCATGATTTCCAACTATCTGGAATCTTCGCAATGTTTGAGGAAGTCCAGATGATTCCATTCAGATGAATACTCAATTCACAATATCTATTTCCCGTTCTTCTGTATGAGAAATTGTCAAAATGCCCTAATGTTCTAGGTAGAACTGATTACTATCATGTAACTCAATTCCGTAATGTTCCTTACTTGTTGCCATCGCTGGTGTTGTCTAGCCCTAGTTGTAACAGGCTAACAACTTCAATTTTCCTAATTCATCGTATTTACAATACATATTTATAGATGGTTCTACATCTGGTTCTAAGACCGGCGGTGGTTGGGAAGGAGTGGGTGAACAGTGGTGTATCGCGGTGCTTCGGGCAAAAAATTCCCCCTGACTGGAGATTACTTCAAGAGAATCGATGCAATTGAATTCACCATAAAACAAGATGACGAAACTTTATCCCAGAACTTACATAAATCAGACATTGTTCTTGGTGGTGTTTGACGAACAGGGAAGACTCCATTGTCGATCTATTTAGCACAGAAAGGATTCAAACTGGTGAATGTGCCTATTATGATCTGTAATAGTTTGATTTGAGTGTTTTTTGGTGACACGAACCTAATTATGGATTTCTAAAAGATTTGTGATGAACATAACTTTGGATTCCTTGTTTGGTTTCAACCTAAAAGGGGCAAAAGGATTTCTCACCCAATTTTCAATTTCTTGTTTTTCGAGAGAGAGAGAGAGAGAGAGAGAGAGAGAGAGAGAGAGAGAGAGAGA